TTATTATTATTATTATTATTAATTGCAAAATTTACATGTCTTATTAGGTTTCATTGAAGGTGCCTGTGGTGGTTCGTTTGGAAGGAACCAATGTAGATCAAGGGAAGAGGATTCTCAAGGTCAAAGATTTACATACATATCCCCCTCACCACTTGTGTATTTACGTATCTAACATTTAAAACTTCATTTTTTACATATATGCCGCCTTACCTATGCATGAAAATGAGCATCTCACTTTTTAAAAGTTAAAATAGTGGGTTAATATGACATGATATGAAATATTTTATGTAAATGCATATGAATTGATTGGTATGTATGTAAATGATTCAAACTGTGTGCAGGAAAGTGGGTTGACGTTGATCACAGCAGAAGACTTGGATGATGCTGCGGAGAAAGCAGTGAAAGCTTCTGCGAGTTAAATTTTTAATTTTAATTTTTTTTTATTTTTATTTTGAAGTAATGAAGCATGCTGATTATTCAGCAGAATTTATTCAATTTTTGGAGGAGGATATTATAGTTTTATTACAGATCTGGTTCAAGAAATAAAAGTGTTTTCTTTTGAGTTAATCTGCCGATTAAATTCAAGGGAAATTTGTATTAATTTTTTTTTATTGTGGAGTATAAATTATTTTGATTGGTTCGTTTTGTGTATTGAGATGGTTAATTGAGGATCTCAGAAGGCTTCTCTATTAAATTTTTATTTCATTTTTGTCATTAGATTTTGAATTACAAATTTTGAATATACTAATTATTGTTATTTATTGGAGCATTTGCATGCAAAATTGTTATCCATTTATGTATCTAAGGCCTAAATTTTGTTTTTTACGTCTTCCTGCGTAAGAGCCTGTTTGGGGCGGCTGAAGTTTATCCAGATAAGCAGCTTATCTGGATAAGTTTCTGATCAGCAGCCGATCCAGATAAGCTGGTTGGATGTTTGGTTTGTTTGTTTGGAAAGTGAATGGATAAATGATCATTTTGCCCATGTGCACTTCTTTCAAGCACACAATAAAAGAGAGCCTAGAAAGTCAGGCTACAAAATTGTTCTGAATTTGTTTTTTTTCACACGATTCCAAGAAGTCTTAATTCATTTTGCATGTTAGAGACAATTATAAGACAACCCATTGTTGCACAAAGTTAGCTTTACAGGAGAACTTTGTGACCAAAGATGTAAAAGATTTTCAAATAGTTTTGAGGTTTCTTATCCTGTAAATCATCCCTTCATATATATATTTTTTTAGTTGAATGCAGTTGCAATATTTAAAAAAAAAAGAGTCCAGTACTCGAAGACTGTGATGGCTCAGGTTCAAGCACTGCACGACCTCCATCTTCCCCCTCCATCTTCCCCCTCCATCTTCCCCCTAGATTTGCCTCCTGGAGAAGTCCTCCCTCGATCTCAAGCTCGTCGGGACGGATTTCAGCTACGGCGGACGGAATCACAGTGATTTCTAGAGCGTCTGCGCAGGAGAAAGTGAAGTCTGCACTCGGACGTGCGGTTGAGCTGATGTGGCATCTTGCAGTTCGGAGACGGGATGAGGGAGATGAACGCCAGAGGCACCTACCGCAGAGGAGACGAGATGAGGGTAGGCAAAGGCGAGAGGGCAACCCCCTAAAATAATTTCTTCGAATGCCGGTCACGGGATCGAACCGCGGCCGCGTTTAATACAAATTTTATACGACATTGCCAAACGAAGGGTCCGTTTGGGGCAGCTTAT